GGGAGCGCAGGGCTCCGCGAGGAAAAGCAGGCGAAGAATAATTTGGGGGGGAAAAAGCGAGCCAGGCAAACTGGAATCAGGATCAAAAAAGAGCGCTTCCCTCCTCCTCCGGCCGATCCCGCCGCCGCCGCCGCCGATGATTGCTATTATTATTTTTTTGGAAAGGCTTAAGCCTGGGGCTCAAACTTCTCCCCTTTTCTTTCTCGCTCCTCTTCTTTCTCTCTCAGTCCTAGTCTTAAAGAGGCAGCAAACTACTTTCCCCCTTTTGCAAACACTCTCTTCTCTGCCTTGACAACTCCTGATACTTTTTTGAACAAGTTAATAGACAACCATCCATGTGATGGGGGCTGTCAGGGAATAAATGGGTTTCCGGCGACCAATCAGAGCGCGCCGGCTCCTCCACTCGGGCCCGGCCTCGCCGCCGGGTTTTGCATGAAAGGGGGCGGGGCCTGCCGCGCCGCCGGCCCCCGCGGGGGAGGGAGGGGGCGAGCGGAGGGGGAGGCGGCTCCCACAGCCCGGCTGCCAGCCACTGGGAAACCTTTGTGTCCCCTCTGGCAGCAACAGGTCACACCACACGCCTTTTCGAAGGAAGTGGGTAAACAGTGCTGAGACTGCGTCGCCCCCCACCCCTTTCCTTTAAAATTAATCTTGATTTACTTTTTGCTGGGGAGTGGCGACGGGAAGAAGGGGTGCGGGAGGCCGCCGCCGAGGTGCGGTGGTGGGGCCGGGCAGAGGGGGTGGTTCAGGGCCACTGTCCAACTAGTCTTTCAGGAAACAGGCAGTGCAAGAGTTGGTGTGTCATTGTTCCCCCGCTCGTCCGCAACGCTTCCCCCACCCACCCCCACTCCGGCCCCTGGGTGCTTCTCCCGGTGCGCGCGCGCTTCCTCCTGCCGGCTTCCTCTCCAGGAGCCCGCCCCCGGACCCGCAGTTGGAAGATGGGAGGGCACTTTCCAGCACTTTCCTCAATACCCTTCTTGTGGCCACAGAACTTGAGATTCATAAATAAATAAGTCTGCTCCCGCCAAGTGGCCGATTCCAGCGCGGGGGCACAGCCAGGGCCGGGGGCGGGGGGCACTGCAGCAAGCACCCTTGCCCTGCCCACGCCAGGTCTTGGGCCCAGGAATCCGCAGCTGTTCCCACGACCACCCACCCCCGTCGCCCACTTTCTCCGACCATCTGTCCCCCAACTCCATCAGTGCTCGGGGCTGTGTACCCTGGTACCCTCTCCCCATCTCCCTCCTTAGTCCCGCGCCCCTCCCCCACGAAAGGTGGTGCCCGTTCCAAATGGGGGCTGGGGGCGGGAGACGCACAGAGGGGGGACACTCTAAAGCCCGGGCGACGGCGGGGGCGATTTCAACTTCCTGCCCTCCCACCGCTCGGTGCGGAGG